TACCTTCTCTGCAGTCTGTGGGGGCCCTTGGAGAAAAGTGGGGAGGGGTCGGCAGGGTTTTGTCCTGGGACCGGAGCCGAGTCTCACCTGGGCCCTGCCCCGTGTCCGTGGGGGTCTGTGTGGGAAGAGGCCCTGGGGCACGTGCAGGGCATTGTGGGCAGGGCTGTGGGGCTGGGCAGGAGGAGCTGTGCCCCCTCCAGATGCTGTTGTGGGGAATGGGTGCTGTGGGGGCACTTGAGGGCCCCTGGGAGACAGGACCATGAGGAGCTGTTGGGAGACGCTGCTGACACGGACGCCACCTAGCTGTGGTGCAGCCACATGGCTGTGGGGCCATGGGTGAGGGCTGGGGGAGCCCCGGGGCCATGTGCAGGGCACTGTGGGGGGAGCTGTGTCCCCTGTGGATGCTGTGGGGGAGGGGAGTCAGCGCTGTGGGGGCACTGGAGGGACCATGGGGATGGGAGACCTGGGCCACACTGGGTGTCAGGTGGGTGCTGCAGGGCCTGGCAAAGGTCAGGGCAGGCATCAGGCTCCGGGGCGAGCAGCTGGGTTTGTGGGTTTCTGGAGCCTGCCCAGTTCCTGCACCCTGTGTCAGCAGAAGGGGAAGCGAGGACGACCCTGAGGCTGCTCTGAGTGGGGGACAATCAGGGGCATCAGGGCTGGGCAGACCTCACAGCTGGGCCAGGGTCACGGTCCTGGGTCTCCCATCACGTGGTGAAGTCTGTGCTGTCTCCTTTCCCCCAGGGGCCTCAGAGGCTGGATGCTGTCAGCAGGGGCTGCGCGTGAGTGCAGGGAGAGAGAGCAAGAGCGCAGGCCCCGGCTGGGTGAGGCCTCTCCTGGTGGAGACGGTGGCAGCTGTGGCCCTTCCCTTGGCAGCCCTGGAGCAGCCTGAGGTGCAGCTGGAGGAGCAGGATCTGGGAGGCCTCCAGGCTGGAGCTAAGGGGGCAGGATGAGTCCGTCCTCTCATCCAGGCTGGGACCAGCGGGGTGCCCCCAAGGTGGTCAGTACCGCAGGCAGTAAAGCAGCAGCTGCAGGAGCCAGCCGAATGTCAGGAGATGCAGGGGCAGGAGGTGATGCAGGCCATGCAGCCCCCTCCTGAGCCTGAGATCCCCTTGGAGACCCCACATTTGGCATTGGGGGACAAGCTCCCCACCCCCAAAACCTGGTGTCAACACTTCAGGGGCCTCTTACCTGGAAGCCAAGCGGCTGTGGGAGTTTTTCAGCCACTGCAGGAGCTCTCCCTGAGCTGGAGCAGGTCCTGGAGCTGGTGGTGCTGGAGCAGCTCCTAGCCGTTCTGCTCCAAGAGATGCAGAGCTGGGAGTGGGGGAGCAACGTAACTCTGGCTGATGGGTTGGAGGTGGGGCAGGAGGAGGATGAGAAGCTTCAGGTAAAAATGTTTCACCTGGGTCATGAATGCTGCTGTCCCTGTCTCTATGAGGTTGGGGGATGTTCCCTCCCATCCCTGTCTGTCCTAGATCCTGGCTCCCCAGTGATACGTTTATCTGGTCCCCAGGTCACAGTGAGTGGGAAGGTGGAGGAACTGCCTTCAGACAAGTGCAGCCCACTGGGACACTGCAGAAACCTGGTCCTTCCTGGCTGGAGCAGCCAAATGGCCATCGTGCGGACAGGCCTGTGAAGGAGTCAGGAGAGATGGAAATACCAGGGCCTTAGGACAAGCCACCTCACATTCCCAGAAAGCACTCCCTGCCCCACCAACAGTCAGGTGAGGTACAGGATGGAGGCTTCTGCATGGGTTTGGGTGCCTGAGTATCTGGTATCTGTCCTGCATGCAGCGGGGGAGGCTTGAATGTCTGCCCCTGCCCATAACAAGGCTGCAAGATTCGTAACTATGTGGCTGGGCTGGGACAGAGCTGTGGTCCCTGTGAATGAGCAGCTCCCAGGCTGGGGGTCCCTGATCTTTATCACAGCATGTGTGCAGCACCCAGCACAGAGAGGCTTTATCTTGCTTGGGCCTTGTGCTGCCGTGGTCACAATCAGTGATTATAATTCACATTCCAACAGTCCACATTCACTGGCCCCTTTCTCATGCCCCCGTGAGTCCTCTGTGCCTGATAAAGGGCTGGTTCAGGTGACGGGGAAATGAGACTCCCCAGTGGCCTCTCGCTGGTTTCGGTACAGCTAACCCAGGACTCTGTCCTGCTGCAGAGTCCCCTGAAACCAAGGGGACCTGGGACCTGTCAGTAGTTGAAAGCTCCTCAGGGTGGTGCCCCAGACAAGGCCCTATCCCAGGAGCAGGTAAGGAGCGATGGCTCTTCCCTTTCCAACAGCAGGAGGCCCCATCCCTCAGTGGAGAAATCTCTGTTGCAGAACATTTTGATGGGGTCAGTGCTCCACAGATGAGGAGTTCTTGATCTCCCAGCGGCCCTGGAATCATTTCACATGCCCTTGAGAAGACTGACCTTGCGTTTCCCCTTCGCCTGCCCTTAACCTGTGCTGCTGATACAGCTCCAACATCCCTCGAGCTTCTTTCCAGGGAGTGATGTCCCTGCAGGGTCTGACATGGTGCTGTGATAACCACCTCACTCTGGAACAGAGTTATTGGGGCTCATCTCTCACCCCATGCCTGTGGAGGTCTGCTAGAAAGAGCTGCGGGATTTTGAGACTTCCTTCTTCCCCCTCTTCCACACACTGAAGCCTCTATTTGCTATAGTCCCAAGCCAGTCGAGGAGACTAGCAGGATATTCTCTATGTTGGGAGCACCAGGGTAACCTGTGCATTGTCTTCCCCGCTCCGCAGGTGCTGGGACCCTGAGAAGAGCTGAGCAGCAGCCTCCTGAGAAGGGGCCTGTAAAGCTGGAGCTGTAGAGCACTTCCCCAGGGAGACTGGAGGAGAGCTCCATGACCCCTGAGCCAGGCCAAGTGCAGAAGGGGCAGGGCAGGGCTCCCAAGCAGGAGGCCAGCTTGGAGGTAAGCAGGGCACCCGGTTCAGTTGGGGTTGGGAGTACAGTTGCGGGGAGCACAGGAGGAGCCAGGGGTGTTATAAAGAATTTGGGAAGTGGAGAGACCTGAAGAGCGTTAAGCCTGCGGTGATGGAGGCTGTGAACACACCAAGCTGGCTTTAGCACAGGGGTGGGCAAAATGGCTGATCTGGTCCATTTTCTAGCAGCCCCTGCCCACATGGCTAGGACCGGCCTTCATGGAGACCCCAGCAGCAGCTGTGCTGTGAAAGCTCTAGGCTGGGGTTGCCATGGTGACAAGCCCCAGCCATGCTGGCAGGGCAAGGGGCTGCTCAAGAGCCACTGGGATCTTGCGATGTGGGCAGCATACTCCGGAGCCAGGGCAGAGCTTCGATCTATAGCCTGCATGCTCCAGGCTGGGGATTGCAGCTCTGCTGCTGCTTCAGACCAGGCTTTTACTGCTGCAACGAGCCGGGGCAGGGCCGCAATCCCCTTCCTGCACACCCAAGCAAATAAAACGCAATGATACAGGCTAAAGCCAACACATGAACTCCTGTGCCCACAGCTGCATCCACATCGCATTTCAGCTGAAGATTGGGCAACTTTGCACCCTTTCCTGTCATGGCTAAGATTGCAATTAGATGCAGTACTGAGTGATTCTAAACAGGGCTGTAGGAGCTGGAAGGAGCTGGAACAGAAGATACTGATACTGTAATGCTTTTGACTGCAGCTCTGGGAGGTGTTTGAGGATGTGGCTGTGTATTTCACACGGAAGGAGTGGGAGCTGCTGGAAGATGAAAACAAGGTGCTTTACCAGGCCCAGGTGCTGAAGAATTACCAAGCCCTCGTTTCCCTGGGTAAAGATCTGGTTCATGCTTCTCCCTGCAGCTATGTGAACTCTGGAGTTTTGTAGTCATCTTCCTGTTTCAAGAGTCTTATCCTCAAGAATTTGTAGCTGGAGTTTTAAATCCACCTCCTCCCCACTCCTCTGTCAGTGATCAGACCTCTATTGCGTTTCATACTGATATATCTGCCTTCATTTGATCCAGCCAGCTTCACTTGTATCTTCCCCATTCTTATAATTCCTGGTTCTTCTAGATGCAGCAGTTTCTTGGCAACATGATATCCCTTTGCCTTTTCAGTGTGTTCATATCATCTCCAGTTCATTGTACATAAATGCTTTAAAAGCTGTTTCTTGGGGAATAATTCTAATTTCCTCTGAGCCTGGCCTAGCGTGTCCTCTCCAAACACATTTAATAATCCTAGCTTGCTCGGTTCTGTGATATCTAAATCCCCTTTCTCCTCGTTATTCATTCCTAGGTGTATAGGTTCATAGATTGTGAGGCTGGAAGGGACCTCAGGAGATCATTGGGTCCAGCCCCCCTGCACCAGGCTGGAAAGACAACTGGGAGTCAGGTGACCCCAGCAAGGTGACTGTCCAGTCTCCTCTTGAAGATTTCCAAGGTAGGCAATTGCACCACCTCTGAAGGGAGCCTATTCCACAGTCTGGATACAATAGCTGTGAAGAAGTTTTTCTTAATGTTGAGCCTGAAACGGTCTTCTAGGAGTTTGTGAACATTACTCCTGGTTTTCCTCAAGGATGCCCTGATAAACAGTTGTTCACTTTAATGTACGCCCCTGATGTAGTGGTAAGCCACAATCAAGTCCCCTCTCAGCCTTCTCTTTTTCAGGCTGAAGAGTCCCAGGTCCCTCAGCCTTTCATCATATGGCTTGCTGTGCAAATCTCTGATCATACGGGTGGCCCTTCTCTGGACTCTCTCGAGCTTTCGTACGTCCTTGTTGAAGTGCGACGCCCAGTACTGAACGCAGTACTCCAGCTGCATCGATTGATGCATGCCAGGTTATTATTTGCCCTGTTGGTCACAGCGTCGCACTGGCAGCTCATATTCATGCCGTGGTCTATTATTACCCCCAGGTCCCTTTCATTCGTGGTGCTGGTCAGTTTGGCGTTACCAAGCCTGTAGTTGTGTAAGGTGGGTTTTATCCCCAGCTGGAGCACTTTACATTTTTCAACGTTGAACTTCATCTGATTCCAATACGCCCAACTTGCTAGCCTCTCTAGGTCCGCCTGTAGATCTGCAGCCTATCTTCAAGCATGAATGACAATGCTTCCTTATAGCATGGTGTCATCCATGAACTTGGCCAGTGAGCTCTTCACCCCCACTTCCAAATCATTGATAAAGATGTTGAAAAACAGTGGACTAAGCACTAACCCCTGAGGGACACCACTGGCCACTTTTCATCAAGACAACACAGATCCGTTCATTACAACTCTCTGGGTCCTACCCGCAACCAGCTCCATACCCACCTAACTGTCTCACGGTTAAGCCCACAGTCCTCCAGTTTTCTCACAAGATCGAAGGCCTTTTGGAAGTCAAGGTATACAATGTCAGTTTCCTTTCCCTTATCCAGGTGGTGAGTTACCTGATTGTAAAAGGAGATGAGGTTGTTAAGACAAGACCTTGGTTATAATCCAGGAGAAATTAATAGAAAGTCTTATGAGCCTATGCTGCTACAACAGGATGCATTTCCTCAACTCCTCCTCTAGTGACATGCGTACACAAGATGCAGCGCAGGTACTTCTACCAAGGGGTCAATGGAAGCTTCTGTCTGCGTTCCTTCCTAACATCTTCATCTCCATAGATCAGAGACTCTGAATTTGCTGTATTTTTGTTAAGACCTGTGCTCTCAAGCTCCCTCTGCAGATCAGATGCCGATTATTGTGATAAAAAGAAGTGGGCTAGCTGCAGGACCTAGTAAAAACCTGTTTTCTTTTCCAGAGGATCTCTAATACAGGGGTTTGTTCTGGCTTGTTCGTAGGGTTGAGGTACTTAGCGTTTACTAGGTCGGTTTACTTTCTTTTCCCTCCCTTTCCCCCCAGAGGATTTCCTTAGGGAAGTGCTTCAATGTTTTGTCTAGCTCAGTGAAGACCATATAGACCATTTCTATATTACAGCCTTTTGCATGCTGTGGAATGTGTAGTCTTCTGCCTTCCTTTGTCCATATCCATGACTGCCAGTAACTTTGTGTTAAACCCTGCAGTACTTGTGTCACAGAGCACTGAGGTGCCCTGTGCCTGAAGAGGGGAAAAGCTGCTAAGGAAGGAGCCCTAGCAGTGACTAAGGAGCCCAGCTGGGGGTTGCCAGGGCAACCAATGAAGGCCAGCTGACTGGCCCTTTATAAACCCAGGGAGCTGAGGCCAGGGGCAGTTCCCTGCCAGCAGCCAGAGAGGCAGGAGCTCCTGGAGTAATGGTGCGGGTAGAAGCCTAACAGCAGGTACTGCTTGACTGGAGTTGAGCAATGTTGCTGTAGCCAGGCACCTTATGTTTGAGTTATAGCCAGGAGGCTCAAGTTTGTGTTTGCTGTTTGTTAAGACCGGTGGTTTGGGTGAGGCTATAAGGGGTTGGAGGAGGCCTCATAGGAGACCCACAGTAGCGTGGGGATCCCGGCACCAGTAAGGGCGCAGTTTACGGGGTGCTTAGACCCCAGCGCAAGAGAGGGGCGTTTGAAGAGCCCAAGTGTGGGCATAGCAAGCCCCAGAGAAGGGGGCAGTACTGCGGAAGGCCCCAGAGAAGGGGGCAGTACTGCGGAAGGCCCCAGAGAAGGGGGCAACTACCAAGAAGCCCAAGTGTGGGCGTGGCAAGCCCCAGAAAGGGGGCCATCTTATTGAGAGGCCCAAGTTGGGCATGGCGAGCCCCAGGAGGGGGGCAACTTTGGGAAGCCCCAGGTGTGGGCGCAGAGAGCCCCAGGAAGGGGGCAGCTTTGAGAAGCCCAAGCGTGGGCTTGGTGAGCTCCAGAAAGGGGGCCATCTTATTTGAGAAGCCCAAGTGTGGGCACGGCGAGCCCCAGGAAGGGGGCCATCTTATTGAGAGGCCCAAGTTGGGCACAGCGAGCCCCAGGAAGGGGGCCATCTTATTGAGAGGCCCAAGTTGGGCACGGCGAGCCCCAGAACGGGGGGAGTCGCACTATTGAGAGGCCCAAGTTGGGCATGGCGAGCCCCAGAAGGGGGGCCGCACTATTGAGAAGCTCAAGTTTGGGCACTGGGAGCCCCGGAAGCGGGGGGGGTCGCACTACTGAGAAGCCCAAGGTGGGCACGGCGAGCG